AACCGCCTCTTTCATCAAAGCATGTTCTAAAAGTATACACAATAATCATTATAAAATGAAAAACTGGAATTTTCACTCCATTACAGCTTCACTAACAGTACATTGCGAAAGTAGGTATAATTGTAATTGTTTCGGCGGCCATTGCGGCGAGTTTATGGCGCAAAGAAATTTATGGCTGCACCGACGCAGAGCTGTATGTCATCGGTTATCTCCCAGCTCGCCGGTCACGAAATGTATTTTGATTTCAATTAGTATTTAGCTGGTGAGAGCCGAAATGCATGGGTAAGGCTTCGCTTCCATTAATGCTGTGCTATGGGAAAAAAATCTATTGAACAACATTCGGTAAGCGAATGATAAATAGCCAATAACTAAGCTTAGTTAAGCCACTTAAGCTAAGAGTTCGCTACAAAGCAATTCAAAAACAAACGTAAACTAAACAAGTTCTCTCATACTATCCAATTGAAAATATAATTTTGCGCAACGAATCACTCTAATAAGAATCTTTTTCTCTCTATTAAGCCTTATTTTTTACATACATAAGGAACTTGACCGACACAAGCGAAGAATTTATTCCTTGCGAAGTTATTTGACATCGGTTTGTGATTTATACAACTTTCTATTCTATTTCAAAAAACACAAAGGACAACGCAAAAGTTTAACACTGTCTGTCCTAGGTATAGCCATCAACAGCTTTTGTTAATGTATGGGGATTAACTAACTATTATTTGAACGATTCTTTTAGTTTTCTCGCTTAGGTAGCATAACTATTATTTATGGACACGCAGCCTTATATGCGTAATATTGTGCTGAGCGTGGCGTAAAACACTGATACCATGAGTTGTGTGTAAGGGAGGGATATAATAGCTATCGATAGTGCACACCCTTTCCCCTCGTCCTATAACAGGGTCATATTACCTCATAGATTGAAGTGACTATTATGGTGAACCCACTGTCTCTTAACATTAACTTTGCTGTAGAGGTTAACAAGAATATTAGTAATAACTACTCTAAAGCGTATGACAGTCTGAAAATAGACAATCCACGTGGATAAAATTAAGTGCGTAATCATACACGCAACTTTGTGCGCAAATAATTTTAAGGGGATCGAACTAGGTAATATCCGCTAAAGAGGCAGTAATTAAAATTTGTGCGCAATTATTTTTTCCATGCATAGGTAAGTAAGGCCCGGAATACAGCTTGAGCGTAGGCTCATTTCTACTCAAGGATGAATTTAATATAAAAAGTTCATACTTGATTAGGAAGTACGTTCAAGCCAAAAATCTCAATTCGGAAACCGGGCCGGAATACCAAATACCTAACTCGATGGATCAACAAAGGACAATGTTCGTTCTCCATACATTGTTCGCCTAAAGAACCAACAATTTTGACATATTACTACCCGAAAGCGAAATAATACGATTCTGTGTGTAAGAACAATGATTCCTGATGGACACTTGCCATAAAATTAATGATTAAGAATATTAAATCACAGCGATTTTATAATATGTCGTTTATGACAACATGGCGTCTAATGTATTGTGTGAATGTATGAACACCGATTCGCGAAAAATGTTTTGTATTGTCGTCACGCCGAGTCGCAGCCAAATAGTATAAAATAATAGAACAAGTTTTAGAAATACAACTCGGCATTCCACTTTTACAATATGCCCACATATTGCACGTAAATAAACAACATGAATCGTAGGTTGTTTCCACCCTTGTCATCTGACACATGAAATAAACTCCTATTGTATTATAGATATCGAAGCCGAATCGTATATAATAATAGAATGATATCTTTTTAGCTTTTAACGCAAATCTAGTCTTCAAAGCAGTTTAATCGATTTATTTTATTTTCAAAATCGATATTTTATTGTCTATGATGGCCGCAGGAACATCACTATACATGGACTCCCAGCAATAAAGTACGGTAATGCCTCGTACAGATTTTATCGGCAAAAATTATGGAACTTGATAGGTTTTAGACCATGCCACGCACCAAAACGTCCGGAAGTTGTAATAGTATTATAGAATAAACGTTAAAAGACTTATTTATTTAATTTTTCAATGCTTAAGTGTCCATTAGAATGAAAGGGTGCTTAATGTATTAAAAAAAATAGAAAATAATTATGATGGGTTAATGTTTTTGGGCGGTTTTTTAGGCGGTTTCTGACAATGTCCTTTCAAACCTCATCTCTCAGCAAGCATCTCCAAAACTTCTCTCAGATAAGTGGCTCATAACATTTCCTTTACATTTTCCCCATGTGAACTAGATGGATTCCCCTTGAAATTTCCATCAAGGAAAACACGTAGGAAAATGCTTAGAGACTGCCTTTTCACGGGCGAGTAGTTTTAAGGTGTGTGTTTTGTTCGAATAATCGGGCGTTATGCACAGGTGAGAAGAATACATTATTTTTAGGGATCCCTTCTATATTCATGCATTAGGATCTGGCCGACCTACAAGGTGGACCGACGACATCGTAAAGGTAGCATCATAGCTCACTATCAACTATAGACTTTTAATCGGTAGCCCAACATCCTGGGGGACGGGTTCATCCAGCAGTTCATTCAAAGTTTACAAAGACGTGGTCTCCACAAGAGATACAAACCTACCGTTTGCTCCACTTTTCGTCAGCTCTGCCAATCATCATCATCATTTCAGCCACAAGGCGTCCACTGTTGAACATTATTATACATAATATAGTAGGCCTCCCCCAATAACCTTCCACATCGCACGGTTGGCAGCAGCCTGCATCCAGCGCCTTCCTGCTATCTTTATCAGATCGTTAGTCCACCTTGTGGGTGGACGTCCCACGCTGCGTTTTCCGGTACGTGGCCACCATTCCTGAACCTTGCTGCCCCATCGGCCGTCAGTTCTGCGTATTATATGCCCTGCCCATTGCCACTTCAGCTTGCTAATCCGTCGAGCTCTGCCAATAATAAGTTCAAAATTCGACTTTTGTCTTAACTTACTTTTTACCCGACTGCGCCAGAAAGAGGGTTATTTACTCCTATGAAGACTGATTTACTGTCAACGCTGTAGCCGTACTACCTAACTACTCGTATCAACTGTACGGGACACTTCAAAGAATTTTCATCCACTTCCGGTTTATTTATTCTGTCATACATTTTAGAAGGCGAAATAGCTGATCCAGTGAGATAACCCCCTGAGATTTGACAACTCATTCCTTTGATTTATAGCCTGCAAAAATATGTATTTTGGTTTCTTGTAATAATTTATTGGTCAATAGATATAATAAGACCAACTAAAGTAACATAGACACCGAGTTTTTGGCCCTAGTAAAGTGTTCTTTCTGAGAGAGTTCATCTGAGCTTTTTTCTATGCAGAATAAGGCAGGTGCTTATTTGACCGCAATCGCGTTATATGCCTATTTACTTTCGCCTTGAAAAGGCCCGGATTATATTATCGGGCTGACGGCCGATGGGGCAGCAAGGTTCTGGAATGGAGGCTGCGTACCGGAAAACGCAGCGTGGGACGTCCACCTGCAAGGTGGACCGACGACATCGTAAAGGTAGCAGGGAAGCGCTGGATGCAAGCCGCTACCAATCGATCAACGTGGAAAGCATTAGGGGAGGCCTATGTTCAGCAGTGGACGTCCTATGGCTGAAATGAGGATGATGATGATGATGATGATATTATCGGGAAAAACAGCAGCAGGCTGTGAGTTACAGGTAAGATTTACATACTTTCAAGACCACTTTTTCCCTGGATGTCGTAAAACATCAGACGTATATGGTGTAGGTAGACATCCACTATGAACGGATTTTACGAAATTCCACTTCTAAAGGGGCAAAACGGGGACCACGCATAAGACGTCGCGGGCGGCCGCTAGTGTTAGATAAAAATTCAATAATTAGTTGTTTATTACTTCATTCATGTTCGCAATAATAAGTGTCAGAGGTTTAGATAACACGAGACAAACGCAATTTAACGAATGTTTATAATTTTATGATAATACATAGTTACGATTAATTTATATTCAGAGGAAGACTATTAGGTATTTAAATTAATAAAAAAACATTGTTTCTCATATATTTTGCCTTATTAATCACTACCAAACGATTTTGTCTGTTTAGCCCGAAGGTTAACTGGCAGAGAATGCATTATGTCATTAAGCTCGCCTCATCACCTCATTAATCAACTTATATAGCACCAAAGATTAATAGAATAAGTAAGGTAATTCTGCACTTTTCTTGCAGCACTAAGGTCATTAGAGAAAACTCAGCACAACACAACCCCCCATAGTGCATAAAAGATAGATAGAGATAGAGACATCATATTTTTAAGCTTAGTACTTAAGTAATTTATAAAAATAACTTCTGAAAGAGCTTCGCCTTAAAACTTATTTACTAAGAATATCTGCCCTTGCAGTTTTTTCATACAGTTATCAGTTTCTTGATGACTTTGACTCTAATAACAACATTATTTCGTAAATAAAAATAATGCTGAACATAAAATTAATTTGTGCAGTGATTTTGTTGTGCAATTTCGTTGCTACTCGTGATTTGATTGCTGGATACGACTTTGGTGTGCGAATGTCGTATGCTGAAGTGAAGAAACACGGCTTATTATTCTTCAGAAGACATGAAACTGTTGCATTTTCATACCCTGCGGGCACCAAAATAACTGGGATTGCATGTGTGGACCTCTCTCCCAAGAAAAAAGGCATTCCCACGATAACCCACGGAGGAATCAACGACAGTTACGTGCAAATTGAATTTAAAAGTGAAGTTAGCGGTGGACTTAAATATACCGTCGAAATATACACGATTTCTATAAAGAAAGACTTGAAAGAATATAAACGTACGTACTAGCAGTGTGTGATCAATTTCATTGTAATTTTAAATATTATACAAAAAAAAACTAATAAAAGTTTTGCGTTTTCTCCTTCATGATTTTTTATTTTTGAACGCATCTTTTCTGTGATTGGTTTAAAACGTTGTCATTTTCTTGCTTGTGATTGGATCATACGATGACACTGTTTCTGACTCGACCAATTGCATCGCTGTATTCCAGTCAGCTGCCATTTTCTTTCTCAGCTGTCAAATGTCATGTGAAACGTCAAAAAATAGAAACAAGTTTTCGTATCATTTTTTCGCTTTAAATCCCGTATTTTACTCCTAATTTCGTTTGAAGATGTCGGAAAATGGGCACAACGATGCGTAAGAAAACCCAAGTGTCGTTTGTGATACGTGACGAGGAGGAGAGGCGTCATAAAAATGGCGTTAGCTCGCTCCAACTGGACCCGATACAGGGCAGATTGTATTCCGCCGGTCGCGATGGAATTATCCGGGTTTGGAATACAGCAACAGGAGTGCAGGATAGGTACATCCAGAGCATGGAACACCACACTGACTGGGTGAACGATATCGTGCTGTGTTGCGGTGGGAAGAATCTAATAAGTGCTTCTTCTGATACTACTGTGAAGGTGTGGAATGCGCCTAAAGGATTCTGCATGTCCACGCTTCGCACACATAAAGACTATGTTCGTACGCTGGCCTATGCGAAGGACAAAGAGCAGGTCGCCAGTGCGGGTTTGGACCGCGCCATTTTCCTGTGGGATGTCAACACATTGACTGCGCTAACTGCCAGTAACAACACAGTCACAACTTCAAGCCTCGTTGGCAATAAAGAGTCAATTTATAGTCTCGCAATGAACCCACCCGGCACCATCCTTGTCAGTGGCTCAACAGAAAAGGTTCTGCGGGTTTGGGACCCCCGTAACTGTTCACGGCTGATGAAACTGAAGGGCCATGCTGACAACGTCAAGGCTTTAGTCGTCAGCCAAGACGGATCTCAGTGTGTATCAGGAAGTTCCGATGGAACTATAAAACTATGGTCGTTGTCACAACAGAGATGCGTGTCAACGATTCGAGTCCACTCTGAGGCGGTATGGGCTCTGCTTGCCACTGAAAACTTCACACATATCATATCAGGTGGACGAGATAGACTAGTCATTATAACGGAGCTACGGAACCCTGACAACTTCATGATCGTCTGTGAAGAGACTGCCCCAATTCTGAAATTATGTTTCACAGCTGATCAACAAGGCGTTTGGGTTTCAACGTCAGAATCTGACATCCGTTGCTGGAAGCTGCCACCTCGTAACTCCTTAAGCTCGGATATGTATAATCAAAATAATTATAATACTAATAATGTGTATCAGACGCAACCTATCCACCATATACCTGGTGGTCCAGCCATCAAACATTACACTGTACTGAATGACAAACGTCACATATTAACGAAAGACACGGCCAACAATGTTGCGTTATATGACGTCTTAAAGGCTTGCAAAGTTGAAGACTTAGGAGAGGTTGACTACGATGAAGAAGTGAAGAAACGTTTCAAAATGGTTTACGTTCCCAATTGGTTCAACGTTGATTTAAAGACTGGTATGTTGACGATACACTTGGGGCAAGATGAGACTGACTGCTTGAGTGCGTGGGTTAGTGCTAAAGAAGCTGGTTTGACAACGGAGAATGATCAGAAGGTCAACTTTGGTGCGTTATTATTGCAAGCTTTGCTGGAACATTGGAACCATCCGAACAGAGTGAACGAGTCCGGCATGAAAGTGATTGGGAACAATTTCTTTAGTGTTCCAGTGCACACTCCACTGATATTCAGTGAAGTTGGCGGAAGAACACTTTATAGGCTTCAGGTTAGTACAATAATTATTCTAGCTAGTCTAATCATATTAGGCAATAACTTTTTTCAATGCAGCAGAAGGCAAGTATTTATTTATTTTTTGAGAAACATACAGTTACAATATAGTTTAACTTAGGTGCAGTAATAAAACACCTAAACCAATTAAGTTTCCACAGTTACAAATAAAGTTGGGCAAATCATATGAATGCAATATAGGACTGCAAATATCACACCTGATATCCTGATATCCAGCTTGGGGAATGTACACCAAATCCTATATTTGCATCCTAGAAAATTGAGGGGGTCATGCTTTTGCAATTGAGATGATGATAATGTACATTGTATAGCAGCAATGTTTAACACCTCCCTAATATGCTGTAGGACAAAATTACCCAATCACAAAGCACAATTTGGATCGGATAAGTATCTATCGCCCAAAATTAGGTAAACTATCTTCAATCGTTTCAGCCAAATGACATCCACTGCTGAATAAAGGCCTCCCCCAAGGATTTCCATTAAGTGCTCTCAATCGTTTCCTGGACCAAAACCCAAAATGTGACGTATTTGCAGAGGGGTGGAGTACGTTACTAGCAGAATGTTTGGGTTACTGTGAAAATAATCGCATCTGATTTATGTACTTTTCCTAAATTAAGTTAAGTTAAATTGTTTTTAATTACCTAAATGTTATTCTGAGCTTTGTTACGTCTTGTTTGAATAGTGTAATTGGTACTACCGTTCTATTCATGAATAAATAAATAAATAAATAAATAAAATAAATAAATTTCCATAACGAAAACTATCTATCTTTCTAAAATATTCATTATACTATCCCCAGGTCGGCGACGCAGGAGGCGAGAACGAAGGCAACCTCCTCATCGAGACAGTTCCCTCCTGGGTGGTTGAGGTGGCCATCGAGATGTCTGCTCCCAATCTCAACAAGCTGCCCTTCTACTTACTGCCGCATTCCAGCTGCCAGAGCAAGCAGGATAGACAGAAGAAGGTGGGAAAAATTATTTAATTCATCACACAACAGCAACAGCCCTTCACAGTCCACTGTTGGACTATGAGCCTCCTCCACTATAGTGGAGGGTTTTGCTATTAATCCCCACGCTTGGCAGGCGGGTTGGAGATCGCAGTTTAAAAGATTGATGTTTTTCACCCGCGGGAAGAGTAGGGGTTGGTGACAAATGTCTATTCTGCCGTCACCACACGGTTTTTTTTTAATACATAGAGGATAATATTAACCCATCAAAAACAATACTTGTCAAAAAAACCAAGTCTCGCAACTCAGTTGTTCTACGGTAAAAAGTTGTGAGATCCATGTAATACCAAGTCCAGGCCAGGAAATCTTTAACGTTTTACATAAATTATTGACTTGGCCATCGCACTAAATAATTTAATTTACACGTGTTTTCATGCGATGGCCAAGTCAATATATTTATGTAAAACGTTAAAGATTTCCTGGCCTGGACTTGGTATTACATGGATCTCACAACTTTTTACCGTAGAACAACTGAGTTGCGAGACTTGGTTTTTTTGACAAGTATTGTTTTTGATGGGATCTCATTTCTTTTTGTATTTTGTAGACAGCAGTTATGTATCTAGAAAACTGGACCGAAATTGAAAAATTTTACTCGACTTGGCGGTTGCACTACCGTGCCCCCAAATATTTTAGTTTTTCCTTGATTCATACACCAAACACTACTTATATTCCAAATTTGAAGCTTCTAGGTCTGCTAGAAGTGCCTTAGAGTTTTGATGATCGGTGAGTCAGTGAGTCAGTCAGTGAGTGACAAAATTAAGTAACTTTGACCCGTTATAATTCTTAAACTACTGGTTCAAATTGAATGAAATTTTAAATATACCGTGTCTTTACAATGCCTGCATAGCTAATGAAAATTTAGCCTTCTAGTTTTATCCACAACGAAGTTACAGGCGGTCGAAAATGGCCTGAATTGCTTCGAGAAAAGGATGGTACGGCCGTGCCGCTTTTTTGCTCGACTTGGTGGGGGCACTGCCGTGCCCCCAGATTATTTTTAACAGCCTTTTAGTATGATCCATACAATGGCAATTAATTTCTTACAAATAAAGGTATTTCAATTATGTTGGTAAATTGAAAAAACTTCAGTTGTTTGTATTTAGCAGATAAATGTATTATTGTAAATTACTCCAATAGCAAAAACAATTTTTTTTATTAAATACATTTTTCATTCCATATGGTATTCAGTACTGCATTCTTAATTGGCATATTATAGTTGCTGTTTGTATTATTGCTTCTATACTTTAGCCCAGGGGTCTCCAAACTTTGAAGCCTTAGGGCCATAATATTTTTTCCTTGCAACATGCAAGCGCCATAACAATTAATTTTTTTCTGCCCACCTATGCAAACATAGGTTTCATCTTAAGCTGTCGTGGGCCAAATTGATGGCAGTGGCGGGCCAAATATGGCCCGCGGGCCGTATTTTAGCGACCCCTGCTTTAGCCTTTTCAATTAGTGTTACTTCGATAGTGAGTGTAGTGGAAGTTTATAAATGAAAAGAGTGGACTGTATGAAATTAATGATCTATTCGGTATAAATTACAATGTTATCGAGACCGTTTTGTGCAAAGTCGTTGAAGAGAGTGCGTCAAGGATCGTCTTCTTAGATGTTCGCTCGCGAACCGAACATTGCTCGTTCGTTCGCCAAACGCTCGCCGCTCCCTCCGGTCACGCCGCCCGCGGGCAATGTCCGTGAGTAGACAATTAGCAAGAAAAAGTTTTGAACGTGACCCTTTCAATTTACGCATAAGGCTATGAAAGAATAATATCAAACCGTTATTTTTTTTAAGTTTTTACATGTCCCATTATCATTATTCCAGGACCGCCTAGTAGCCAACGACTTCATCCAATGTCGTAAAGTAGCCGAACACGTAGTCGAAAAGATAGTCGGCGGCGGCGACGCCTCCGGAGCCAGTGCAGGCAGTGGGAAGGGAAGCGGCAGCGCCAACGAGGATAGCGGGAACGACGCGCCCGAGGAACGGGTGGAACTACTGTGCTGTGATCAGGTGAGAGCGAAAATGGAGCGTGTTACTATTGTAATAAATGCCATATTTGTTTGCTTAAATTTTGGGAAAGGAAGCGGCAGCGCCAACGAGGATAGCGGGAACGACGCGCCCGAGGAACGGGTGGAGTTGCTGTGCTGTGACCAGGTGAGAGCGAAAGTAGACCGTATTACAACTGTGTTAAGTGCCACTTCTGTTTGGCTGAGTATTACGCGCTGGATGAAAGAGTGGAGTTGTTGTGCGGTGATCAGGTGAGAACGAAAGTAGACTCTATTACTACTGTGTTAAGTGCCACTTCTGTTTGGCTGGGTGGGCAGCGGGAAGGGAAGCGGCAGCGCCAACGAGGATAGCGGGAACGACGCGCCGGAGGAACGGGTGGAGTTGCTGTGCTGTGATCAGGTGAGAGCGAAAATGGAGCGTGTTACTACTGTAATAAATGCCATATTTGTTTGCTTAAATTTTGGGAAAGGTAGCGGCAGCGCCAACGAGGATAGCGGGACCGACGCGCCGGAGGAACGGGTGGAGTTGCTGTGCTGTGATCAGGTGAGAGAGAGCGAAAATAGGGTCTATTGCCACTGTAATAAATGTCATAGTTGTTGGCCGAGTTTAGACGCGTCCGGAGCCAGTGCAGGCAGTGGGAAAGGAAGCGGCAGCGCCAACGAGGATAGCGGGAACGACGCGCCGGAGGAACGGGTGGAGTTGTTGTGCTGTGATCAGGTGAGAGCGAAAATGGACTCTATTACTACTGTGTTAGGTGCCACTTCTGTTTGGCTTCAACGAGGATAGCGGGAACGACGCGCCGGAGGAACGGGTGGAGTTACTGTGCTCTGATCAGGTGAGAGCTAAAATAGGGTCTATTGCCACTGTAATAAATGTCATAGTTGTTTGGCCGAGTTTAGACGCGTCCGAAGATAGCGCGGGCAGCGAGAAGGGAAGTGGCAGCGCTAACGAGGATAGCGGGAACGACGCGCCGGAGAAACGGGTGGAGTTGCTATGCTGTGATCAGGTGAAAGTGAAAATAGGATCTATTTCCACTGGAATAGATGCCACATTTGTCTGTATTTAGGAAGGTAATCTGATGTCATCGGAGAACGGAAATAGTGCTTGTTACTACTGTAATGGATGCCACATTTGTCTGAATTTTGGGAAAGGTAGCGGCAGCGCTAACGAGGATAGCGGGAACGACGCGCCGGAGGAACGGGTGGAACTGCTGTGCTGTGACCAGGTGAGAGAGAGCGAAAATAGGGTCTATTGCCACTGGAATAAATGTCATAGTTGTTTGGCCGAGTTTAGACGCGTCCGGAGCCAGTGCAGGCAGCGGGAAAGGTAGCGGGAGCGCTAACGAGGATAGCGGGAACGACGCGCCGGAGGAACGGGTGGAGTTGCTGTGCTGTGATCAGGTGAGAGCGAAAATGGAGCTTATTTGCAGGTGTGATACTGACCACATTTGTCTGAATGTGACTGATACATTTGTGGGAAAAGATCGTCCGGAGCCAGTGCAGGCAGCGGGAAAGGTAGCGGCAGCGCCAATGAGGATAGCGGGAACGACGCGCCCGAGGAACGGGTGGAGTTGCTGTGCTGTGATCAGGTGAGAATTTTTGTAAAATTGCACATTTACAGCTGTCACATAGCTCGAAGAACTAACTTTGGGGCAGAAAACAGATGAAAAAAAAAGGTCCTTATTACAAATGGAATGTATGTCACATTTGTCTGAATTTTGGGAAGAGGAGAGGGACTGCCAACGAATATAGCGGGAACGACGCGCCGGAGGAACGGGTGGAGTTGCTGTGCTGTGATCAGGTGAGAGAGAGCGAAAATAGGGTCTATTGCCACTGGAATAAATGTCATAGTTGTTTGGCTGAGTTTTAGCTAGCGCTGGGATAGGGAAGGGAAGCGGCAGCGCCAACGAGGATAGCGGGAACGACGCGCCGGAGGAGCGGGTGGAGTTGCTGTGCTGTGATCAGGTGAGAGAGAGCGAAAAGAGGGTCTATTTCCACTGGAACAGATGCCACATTTGTCTGAATTTAAGGAAAGGCAATCTGAAGTCATCGGAGAACGGAAATAGTGCTTGTTACTACTGTAATGGATGCCACATTTGTCTGAATTTTGGGAAAGGTAGCGGCAGCGCTAACGAGGATAGCGGGAACGACGCGCCGGAGGAACGGGTGGAGTTGCTGTGCTGTGATCAGGTAAGACCGAAAGTAGCACTTAATGCAGCTAGAATAAATGCCTTATTTGTTTGCTTAAATTTTGGGAAGGGGAGCGGGAGCGCCGAAGATAGCGGGAGCGCCCCAGGGATCTATTACCACTGCAATAGATGCCACATTTGTCTGTATTTAGGAAGGTAATCTGATGTCATCGGAAAACGAACGGTGTTTGTTACTACTGTAATAGATGCCACATTTGTCTGAATTTTGGGAAGGGGTGCGGGAGCGCCAACGAGGATAGCGGGAACGACGTGCCGGAGGAACGGGTGGAGTTGCTGTGCTGTGATCAGGTGAGAGCGATAATGGTACTTATTGCAAGTGTATTAGATGTCACTTCTGTTTGTCTGGGTGGGAAGCGGGAAGGGAACGAGGATAGCGGGAACGACGCGCCGGAGGAGCGGGTGGAGCTACTGTGCTGTGATCAGGTGAGAGCGAAAGTAGCACTTAATGCAGCTAGAATAAATGCCATATTTGTTTGCTTAAATTTTGGGAAGGGGAGTGGGAGCGCCAAAGAAGATAGCGGGAGCGCCCCAGAAGATAGCGGGAGCGCCAACGAGGATAGCGGGAACGACGCGCCGGAGGAACGGGTGGAGTTGCTGTGCTGTGATCAGGTGAGAGCGAAAATAGACTCTATTACTACTATGTTAGGTTCCATTTCTGTTTGTCTGGGTGGGTCCGGGGTAGCGCGGGCAGCGGGAAGGGAAGCGACAGCGCCAACGAGGATAACNGAGTTGCTATGCTGTGATCAGGTGAAAGTGAAAATAGGATCTATTGCCACTGCAATAGATGCCACATTTGTCTGTATTTAGGAAGGTAATCTGATGTCATCGGAAAACGAACGGTGTTTGTTACTACTGTAATAGATGCCACATTTGTCTGAATTTTGGGAAGGGGAGCGGGAGCGCCAACGAGGATAGCGGGAACGACGCGCCGGAGGAACGGGTGGAGTTGCTGTGCTGTGATCAGGTGAGAACGAAAATAGGGTCTATTTCCAATGGAACAGATGCCACATTTGTCTGTATTTAGGAAGGTAATCTGATGTCATCGGAAAACGAACGGTGTTTGTTACTACTGTAATAGATGCCACATTTAATTTTGTCTGAATTTTGGGAAGGGGAGCGGGAGCGCCAACGAGGATAGCGGGAACGACGCGCCGGAGGAACGGGTGGAGTTGTGCTGTGATCAGGTGAGAGCGAAAGTAGTCCCTATTGAAAGTGCATTAGATGTCACTTCTGTTTGGCTGAGTATTACGCGCTGGATGAATGAGTGGAGTTGTTGTGTTGTGATCAGGTGAGAACGAAAGTAGACCATAATTACAACTGTGTTAAGTGCCACTTCTGTTTGGCTGGGTGGGGAGCGGGAAGGAAAGCGGCAGCGCCATGAAAATAGGGTCTATTGCCACTGCAATAGATGCCACATTTGTCTGTATTTAGGAAGGTAATCTGACGTCATCGGAGAACGAAAATGGTGCTTGTTACTACTGTAACAGATGCTGCATTTATCTGAATTTTGGGAAGGGGAGCGGCAGCGCTAACGAGGATAGCGGGAACGACGCGCCTGAGGAACGGGTGGAACTACTGTGCTGTGACCAGGTGAGAGAGAGCGAAAATACGGTCTATTGCCACTGTAATAAATGTCATAGTTGTTTGGCCGAGTTTAGACGCGTCCGAAGCTAGCGCGGGAAGTGAGAAAGGTAGCGGGAGCGCCAACGAGGATAGCGGGAACGACGCGCCTGAGGAGCGAGTGGAGTTGCTGTGCTGTGATCAGGTGAGAGCGAAAATGGCCCCTATTACAAATGGAATAAATAAAAATAAAGTTACATCTGTTTGTCTACATTTTGGGAAAGGGAGCAGGAACGACGCGCCGGAGGAGCGAGTGGAGTTGCTGTGCTCTGATCAGGTGAGAGTAATAATGGTGCTTATTGCAAGTGGATTAGATGCCACTTCTGTTTGTCTAAGTATTGCGTGCTGGAGGAATGAGTGGAGTTGTTGTGCTGTGATCAGGTGAGAACGAAATAGTGTTACTACTGTAATAGAAGCCATATTTGTCTGCATTTTGGTAATAGTGGAATTGTTATGCTACGATCACCAATAGAACAAATGCCACATTTGTCTGAATTTTTATTTGGTGTTTATTCATAAATGGACTGGACCGTGGAAATGAATATAGGCCACTTTTTGGGATAACCAAGAACCAACATCATCAGTGATTGAGTCTCCACTGTAGGAAGGCGACATTCACCAGCAAAATGGAACACTAGGCGTAAATTCTCCTCGAAGGCCAGAGAGAGAGGCCTGGTGTCAGCATATTTCTTGAGTGACCGTGGTCTTTCTACTCTGACCGGATCACACACAGCTATTTAATTTATTTATTTATTTATTTAAAATAGATACACAAACAGATCACTGTCAATTACATAGCCATGAAATTAACAAAATATTAAATAACTAAACAGAGATCCAAAATCAGCGTACACAACATGCTTAGTATTAAATAAAGCTACTTATATTAAGACAAATGTAAATATACATAAAAATAGGGTAAACATTGGATAGGGTCGAGGACGATTATTTATTTTTAAAGATTTCTGTTAACAATCTCTTGTACCGGGGAAAACTGCTATTAAATATGTCAATGTCTCCACCACTGCGAACTACCTCGTTGTATGAGCGAATTAACATTATTCTAACAATTTATCATTATTTCCAGGTGCTCGACCCAAACATGGATCTCCGGACAGTCCGCCATTTCATCTGGAAGTCCAACGTTGAGTTCACGCTCCACTACCGAGTTCTAAAACAATGAAAGTACAGCGCACACCTGTACAGGTCACAAATAAAAAAGTACTGCTCTTTCCGATGCATCTTCGAGTGATACGCGTATTTGTGGTGAGACAAATTGACTCTTATGTCTATAGTAAGTAGAGATAGAATGGAATATCGGTAGCCATATTGGATTTGGTGACGTCTTTCTTGTTACTTGTCAAAATTTAAATGTATTTCAAAATGGCCGATTGTTGTGGTTATCTTATAGTTAGCAACAATTGTTTCTGTATTCCTTTTTGGCGTAATACCAACGTGTGTTCTCTGGATTTTTGCAGACAGAACATTTGACTAACAATAGGGTATTTGACTTGGTATTTAATAAGACAATTTAACGGCCTAAAGCTCAGTTTAGTTTTAAGTACCCGTTAAAATAAGTACACATTAAAAAAAATGGACTTAAAATTTATTTTTGACAGTACGAAACCTGTGATGTTGATTTAAATGTTTTATTGTTTTGGACCTTAATGCAAGCTAATAAGTTTCAAAGTATGTTGGAAACTACCTAAACGATTTTATATTATAACATATCAGTCAAGTACCCTTTCGATTTATATGAAATACTTTGAAAAATGCCGTGTTAAATGTGGACCACATTATTTTTCCTAATGTTTACAATGTTTATGAAGTTTTTATGCAATGTCACCAAATTGTCTTGTTTGTTATTTTGGCTGAAACCTCGCATTTTTGCGTGTGTACGAGATTTTATCATTGTCATTGAAATAATTTCCTAACATGAAATGAATTATTGGTTTTCCAATACAAATAGATATAATTCGCGCAGCGAAAGTTGAGGCGAACACATACACTGATGTAATACTTGAATACACAGCACATTTTAATATTCAAATATCGAATACACTATCTAACTCGCTCTTGTTAAATGTGTGCAAGCGAGACAAAGGCACTTGTCAGTCTGACTACACAAAACGTTAGCCCGACATAATATTCCAATGTAAATCTTAGGCTGGGTTGCACCGTCTTACTTTAACTTTGACAAACGTCAAAAATCTGTCAAACTCCATACAAAAAACACCGGTTATCGTCATAGTTACGGTCAAAGATAGGTGGTGCAACTTAGCCTTTGCTTGTGTTTATCCCCTCAACTTTCGCTGTGGGACTTAAACCTAAGTATTTGTTTTATGGTATCATACAACTATATTTCTAAAAAATCCTCGTGTGTGCCACGCGATTTTGCATGGAAAATCAAATGTTTGAGTTAATGTGAAGTATTCTTGCCGATGTGTGTATGGAATTTTGAATGTATTGTAAAGTATATTCGTGAACGTACAAGGTGCTTGCAGAACGCTCGCAATTTATACTCCATAAATTATATACTAAATATTGCTGTTTTGCTAGTATTTCTAAGAATTTGGCAAATGTAAGAGAACTTTTTATATCTTTCTTATTTCACGATGCAGGGGCACGGCAGTGTCTTGGCCAAGTTTCTAATTTAATGGTATGGTAACGGCTACTGTTGTATTCTAAACGATTAATTCTAAAGCTTTTATCTACCTACATATGGACTTATTTCAAATATTTTTGCACAACACGATTTATACTTATTTTTACATACATTACGAGCTCTAATTGGACTTTTTCGTACCATACACAATAATAAAATTGACCTACAAATATTTATGTCAAAACAAACTTTTCTATGAATTTGAATTTTAAAACATAAAGGACTAAAGGTGTATAGGATGCCTTAATTTATTTCATATCGTAGCATTTTTCTTTTTTATTAAACAAAATGTAGAATAACTAGAATTTACTTAAGAATTTCGTCTTATTTTGAGTCAAATGTTATGAATTACATTTTGGTCTGGTGAAATGTACTGTTTTGCTTATTTTTAAACATTTTGTAAATAGTGAATAGCTTGGATTTATTGATATGAATGGAGAAAGGACGCTATTTACGTGAAGAGTACAAAACATTTTCTGTTATGATTTGATGACATTCCAGTTTTGACAATCTAAACATAATTAATCTTCCAAAAAGAAAACACTACAAATAAGTAATTAGTTTCTTAAATTTTTCCCACAACTTGGCCTTCTCTGTTGACCCTACAAATCTTTTAAAATGTCATATTTAAACGTTCAGGGATGTCATTCTTTCATATTTTCCGATTTGGCTTAAAGATATGTGTTAATTTTAATTCATACATGTAAAAAAAAAATCGTAAATGTTTTGACTGGTTCTTCTACATTATAATATTGTATGCGTAGGTTATCAAATAACCTAATGTAAAATGTCGAAATGAAACTGTATGAAGCTGTATTAGATATTTAAGATGTAATGAACTAGTTTTTTCTGCTGAGAACGTTGTATTGGTTTCCTATGAGATAGACGTTGTTATTATTTATCCGACATTGTGCTTAAATAGCGTGAAAGTATCGAATTATAAAATAAATATCGTTATAAATTATGGTCTCTCTGATTTATTGTTACTTCCTTTCATCATCATCATCATTTCAGCCACCTAGGACGTCCACTACTGAACATAGGCCTCCCCAAATGATTTCCACAATGCAATGGCCGGTTGGTGGCGGCCTGCATCCAGCGCCTTCCCGCTACCTTTATGAGGGTCGTCGGTCCACCTTGTGGGTGGACGTCCTACGGTTAAGTACTCCAGTTACTTCCTTTATGGCCAAGATAACAGACACGGGTCTAAAAACCGACCAAACCCCTTTGACTTTGATAATTATTCAATAGCGGTGACAGCGCGGGAATGCTCTTGGTTGAAATTAAGGAAAGCGTTGTCAAGCTAATGCGGAAAAGAGTTTTTTTACCTCAGGAAAACTATAAGTCCGTATATCAACCGTACAGAAGAAGTCCCCACTGGGATCGAACCCTAGACGTCATAGGTCTGAGATAAGTGGTCATACCACAAATAAAAGAAATATAATCTTGAATAAAGTTAGAATTTTTTTTTTTTCTTCTTCTGTGCTTCATCTGCAATCAGTCTTCCGACTATGAGCGGATGAGTTGTAGTGCCCTTTGCATGATAAGTGTCTTCTCCACTGAGAAGACTATAGTACGAGAGCCCACGACCAAAATTTTTGTCTCATAGCAATACGGCCAAAACCGCATCAAATCGATAGATACGATTATCCTGAACTCGAAAATGGGTATTTCGCCGAAACAGTAAATTTTCTGTGTCCAGGCAGGCGAACACATGTTTTTTTATATCTATACGTATAAAACTATTTTAATGGGAAAGTTCATCAAAAGTTTTATTTGTTTTTGCTATTACAATAGCAGATACTACAAATAATAGCGTAGAAAAACTTAATCAAAAGTCGTTTTTCTAATTTCCTTGTTATGTCCATTACTGTTGTCTGCCAAAATGAAGGCACACTATAACAAATTGAAGCGTAATTTCATTCTAATAGCACTCTCTTTATTTTTGAGAAACGTTTGGCTATCGGAAAATCAAAACATTAAATGCCAAATACTTAAAGGAAGGAAATAAAGTGAAGTTAAGTTCTTGTCCGAGTCAAAAGTATAATTTCCCTGGGTCTTCATTTCGACCATTGTAGTAACGAAACGAAAGAACTTAGAATGTAATGCACAGCATCGTTACACTCGGCCATTTCGTCCCAAAAGGCCATCGAGGCAGGACAGTACTGCGTTGACCAGTTTCGCGACAAATCGCATAAGTAGGTCCCTCCTTGGGTTTTTGTTTACTAAAAAGTCAATTTCTTTGGACGGCTTTTTGCAACTAAACAATGGATTAATTTTATTGTTTATTTACACAGATGTAGTGTCTATAGGGGTAAACCCATGATTTAAATAGTAAATGCATAGGGTAAATAGGTTTTTGTCTGTGGTGTCTTTTAGGCATAAATCTTATTTCTGTGGCCCTAATTTCCTTGTTTTCCTTGGCATAAAATGGCCTAGGAAATTATAAAAGACCATTTTTAATTCGGCGTAAAGTAAAATTTTGAGTATTTCTTTATTGGAATAAGTTTAAAATTGACATTTTAAGAAATGGGTATCAGAATAGATATAGAACAACTTGTTTTTAACTCTAAACTCAATCTACTGCATTTATCTTCCTTAGTTGTGTAAAAAGGTCGTAATGATACAATAGTTATTGCTATGTTGGCTTGCGAAGGTACACAAAAATGGGTCGAACAAAAAAAAGCAAATCACAGAAGAAAACGTAGAGAAAAAAATATTTATAATAATTTCCTTGGCTACCAAAAGTTCATGACATTATAACTTTGTTTCTGAAACGAATTATGACACCCCTTTTAGATATATTAGCTTAGTTTTTGCTACTTAATGCTATGGGAAACTAAAAATAGTTAAAAACAAAAAATATTTCGTACCAAGGAAATTAGGCAAAATTGACCATTTTTGGCGAAATACCCAAATACCAATATCAGACATTTTCCGCGTAGCGTTTGATCTGACCGAATTTTCAAAATTGTCAAAGAATTTTACCGAACTGCATCATAGCAATATGTCTGATTTGCAGACTGTAGTTGAATGATAGTTCTGAGATACCGGAAACATTATTTTCAGACGTTAGTGGTGTAGCGCAAACCCGTAAAATCACTTAAAAAAATTAAAAATGAGACAAAAAAAATGGGGACAATATTATTTGATCCTCTAAAAACTAATTGATCTTTTTTGTATGTGCACTTTTAAAAATAAATGATGTTTTTTATTATATTTTATCTTTATATTAATTATTGGGTCTATATTAGTTGATCTACGGATAAATTATGAATGATCTTCATTAAAGGTAACATAATATTTATGTTTAACCTACTCTTTTAATGTTTGGTAAACAAAAATAATATTTGATCCTCTTTTTTAGTTATTGATCTTTAATTTTGTTAATTTGATGATTTTTATATCAAGTTTGCCTTTTAATATTGATCACCTAATAAATACATTTCGATCTATGTATAACTTAACTTTAAAATATATTTGATCTAACAAAAAATATTATTGGTTAATATTTTTAATTAAAAAATATCTTTTAATTTACGCGGTACTTTGTGGTTGAGTGACAATCGTCCGTCATTGGTTACTGAGTTGGCCAAGGGCTTGGCGGCCAATTAGCAAGCAGAATGGTATATTGCCATGTTTGTTTAAATTACAAGCTTTGCTTAGTTTGGGACTAGAGGCGCTATGTAAAATAATTTCTTACTTCTGACATCCCTGAACCCGACATCATAATTTTTACATCTTTATTTTTTTCAAATCGCAGGGTTGATTTT